ATATATATATGACTATATATATATATATATACGAAGAAACCAATAATAAATGTGTGTGTATAGATAATTGAGCTTAAGGTACTAACACACATAATATAAACTCCTAAACTAAATTACCCAAGCTTGATTGGTCTTCAATAAGCTCTACTTGGTAATCTCGCGGATGAAGCTTGAACTTGGATCTTGAACTTTGAATTGCAAGGCTTCACCGACATTCCGCCAACCTCCTTTGGATATGATCGTTGAAGCTCTATTCCATCCATCCTCCAACTACGTTGTTTGTCTACAATACATAGGAAAACACAAATACTAGACAAACAACATTAGTGGTAAATTGTTTGTTAAACATCATCAAAACAAGAAGGCCAACAATCTCCCCCTTTTTGATGATGACAAACATTTACAAAAAGGAATATATGCATGAAGGAAATGAACATATACAAGATAATACACATGCATATAAACAAGGAAAATTATATACTCACAATATTTCTCCCCCTTTGACAACATCAAAAAGGGGACAAAAAGAATAAGAGAGCGAAAGCTCCCCCTATCAATGAGCATAGGTGAGTATATAAAAAAATATATAGGGATTGCTCCCCCTATCAAAATGCCATATAGAATATACGAAATGAAGATCATGGCAAACATATGTGAGCAAGCATAGATGGAAGATATGCTAGATATCACTCACATACAAACAAGATAATGAGAACACATATAAATACATCAAGATAAACATATTGTCTCATATCATAAAAGCCAATGTATAAAATAGATTTATGAAATCAAAAGAAGAGAAACATGAGAGTCATGTAAAAAGTTTTCAAATGAAAACAAATCAACCAAAAGAAATCATAAATCAAGATTTGAGTCCAAAACCTCATGTTTGATCAAAAATAGAATCTCATTTGTGGGATTTGATCAAACCACATATGGAATACATTATAATGCACGAATAGATGATCCATAAGCACAAACATATAAATATCATCATATAAGTGAAATATAATGAATTCAAAGCAACAAATCAAAACAAAATATTTAACAAAAGAATTTCAAGAGAGGCAACAATATATCAAGCTCTAAAGCTTGTTCTAACCCATATAATCATTCTAGCATCCGGTAAACATGATTTGGGAATAAACACCCAATAAACCCGGAGGGTTATATAAATGCAAACCTCTCATTAAAGCAAAACCAATGATCATGAAAACAAAAGAATTTAGCGAATAAAAGAAATTGTTTTCATAAAAGTTTAAAATGCATTTTTCAAAACCAAGAAAGAGAAAAATAAAAACACTAAAATTCTTGGTTTAAAAATTATTTTGGCACCCAAGCATTCTTGGTGCCGGATTGTTTA